TTACATTAGTTCGCATTTTTCATTTGTTTTTCTTACTACAGTTATTTTTTTAAATGTATTACTTGGCTTTAATTTGAGTATGTTTTTCGCGTTGGAACGAATTATTTGGTTTTACATGTAATCGTATGGGAAAAGATGATCCACCTTACGACATTTTCATGATACGATCTCAGTTTCGGAACGGATTAATTTCGTATCCTGAGGTACCACTGTACTTTATTACGAATAATTGGTTTTCTCCTCTCCACACGGAAATGTGTGACTATTTTATTCATTTATTCGTTTATTCATTTCGGACCTGCTGGAAAACCAGGAAACTTTAAATTTCACCCGATTGCCTCCCGCCCGTCTTTAGGTGTGGGCCTACCGGGCCTCCAGACATTGGGGGCCTCCTAACGTTCGAGACCTCGAAAATATGCAAAATTGAATAAAGCAACAAGTAATAAAATTATTGTAAACAGTAAACAATCAAAAGATATTGTTATATTTATGTTTAATAAAATTCATCAAACATATGTTTAGCAGAGAAAGCTAATTGAAAAATTTATGAACATTAACCCTCCATTACGAATTCCTTAAGGGGCCTCCAAGTTTTTCTTGGCCCAGGACTTCGCACGTACCAAAGACGGGCCCGAATAAAGCCGTGACTTATTAGTTAAATAAATCATAAAATAAAAATTTTGAAACGTGCAATAATTTAAATAAGCCGCTCTAGCCTTTCTTTCCTTAATATTTAAGAGATTTCTACTCGAAATTGAATTTCAGAAATTTGAAATTAATTTTAACACATTGCAGTAGAAAAGTAATCTGAGATGCTACGAGATACACAAAGAATAGAACCATGGTACAAAAATCTAACACGCAAAGGAGTATCTTAAGTGTTATTCGATAGATAGCGCTAAAGTTCAAGATGTAAGAACCTGTAGCGATCCACTCGTGTATGCTACAATTTGATATGATACGATAGCACAGTAATGAACCAGTGTTAATGATGAGTTATCTTAATTATTAGGATTAGATTCGGTAACTCGTTGAGATAATCTTAAGATTTCTAATCAATAGGTGAGGCATTTTGTATTCAGACGGTCACATTTCATTTCAGAGCGATAACGCGTTGCATAACTTGTTAACATTCAGTGAATGTGCACCAAAAATATACGTAAATTGTATTTAGATATCCGTATTAAAAAACGACAAAAAATATACTGCCAAGGCTCAAAATTCGTGACAACAAAATTAAACTTATACAGTACCATTTTATATTATCAAGTCCGCGTTAGAAGCCGCAAAAGGCCGCAGGTTTTCCTATTCTCCTATTAACAAATGTGATAGTAAATACGAGAGCGAGAGTAGAAAAAGATGGCGACGAGCGGTCTTTCTCTATATCATTTTAATTATTTACTTATTATTACCGCCTTCCAAATTGTTTAATCATTAAAATGACTTTGAGCATGAATATATATAATTTCACGAATATTTGTTTCTTAGTTATCTTGCGAAGTTCTGGAGTCTACTAAAATATACGAACGCGACTCGCATAGCCCCAAAAGATACAGGTGAGTTACTTTAATATTATTTACATTTCTTCATTTAAGGCTTTTAATGTCTTTAATTTCGTACAGAGTTATAGGGCCATTAAGAAATTCTCCTCAATTTTCGGAAACCTTCAAATGCCCAGAAGACAGTCCGATGAATCCTTTAAACAAATGTAAAATATGGGGTTAATTAAAAATATTTACAGTCCGAGTCGTAAAGTCTTTTCCTGATCGTGCAAAAATGTTTTCTGCAATCCTGGGCTTAGTAAAAGAAAGAAGAAAAGCCTCCGACAACCCGTTACGCACGTGCCTGCACCAAACATTACCTTTCGGACAATCCCTTCTTTCTCTAAATCAACGTTAGTTCTAACCCTATTTAGATATTGTCTATTTTTCCCGAGGTGTGAAAGATCATCCGAAATAACCAACACGCTTCAAATAATAATTGTTCGCATTTTTTGTGGACTACAGATGAGTTCCGAGGCTTGAACAATTGGCACTTTGTAAGCATACATACGTTTACGCAAAATCTTAAGTACTGTACTCCTACGTATGCCAAATCCATTCGAAGCACGACGAGTGGATTTGCTGGGACTGAATTGAAAAGTTACGTGCACATCACCGATCTCTTCGTTCACAGTTGGCCTCCCAGTTTTTTTTTTCGGGTCACTAACATCGCCAGTCTGTTTAAACTTTACGAATCAACCTACAATGCTTTTCACATTTGGTAATTCTCGCCCGTACTCTTTATGGAAGTTTCGTCGGACCATAATTGCGATTTTGTTTCGTGAAATCATAGATCATCATCGAGCTTCTTTTTGCAAAGACTCCATTTTGCCCATGCATCTGGACCGTTCAGTCTGCACAGAATCTCTAATTTTGTAATAAACAACGTGTTTCTGTATTTTCTACTTACACGTTAGCATAGCTTTTGTTTGGTAAATATTTATAATCGGGAGAAAATTTATGAACGCCCAGTGTTTCAAATTATTCACTAATTTTATTCTATTAAATTGCTATAATAAATTGAAGATTTTTTAAAGACATCTGTAAATATTCTATAATAATACATTCAAAAACATTTTTACATTTTCAAGAAGTTGATCGGGGGTCTCGCGGTACGTACCGTACGTTATTCGATTATTATTACTAAGATTCTGGATTCCCATAATCTTTTATGAATGAATCAAATTGTAGCGTCATTTTTCAATTGTCGTTCATACACGAGGGCGTGAAGAGAGTGACTGGGGTTTTAATAAATCAATCTATGCACGTTGGTATATATTGCCACCGAGAAACGGACGAGTTCAGTTACATACTGTAGAACAAGCTTCAAAATAAAAATGTCTTCGTCCTGGTTGTTATATAGAGGACGACTCAAAAAATCCCCAGGAATTTTTCGGGGAGTGGTCCGTTCGGATATGTCGGCCGCCGTCCCTCACCACCCGACAGCCCAATTGTGGGCCTGGTCGAACCTATAATGGGCTTGCAAAAAGAAGCCCTCTTAGTGCCCACAGGGCGGAAAGAGTTAAAAAAAAATATATATATACTGTATATAGAGAACGACTCCTCCATTTTGACCTTGATAAATGTTATTCCTCTAGTCCAGTGTTTCCCAACCTTTTTTGTGCTATGCCCCACCTAAGCCTTTCTAAAATTCTTTTGCCCCTAACATATACAGCGGCCTACTTATGGTTAACTTAAACTCTGGACGAGTCCATTTTCGAATTGTCCCCCTGTGGGGCGTAGGCACCACGTTGGGAAACACTGCCCTAGACATTGTTCCCAAATCTTCGAAAGATATTCACATTCTTATCGTGCGTTACGTGTTAAAATCTTCTAATCGTCAATTTTATAAATCACATTTGTAATTAAAATAAAATTGTGATTCCTTTTTTAACGAAAAGAATACTTTTTTCAAACAACACGAGGGGATATTAGAGAGGTTGAGGCGCACGTTTTAAACGTGTAAACGTGTACGTGTGACGTTCGGTGCCGCTTTCCCGTAAGCCTAGAAGTTTGACAATGATGTTTGGAATGTCGAGCGTGATTCCACCGACTATCCAAACACCATTGTCAAACTTTTAGGCTTACGGGAAAGCGGCACCGAACGTCACACGTACACGTTTACACGTTTAAAACGTGCGCCTCAACCTCTCTATTGTTGACAGATAATAATAATAACGGTAACACACCCCGTCATCAAAAGTCCGTAGCATACTCACTAATCACGCATAATGGTATCTCCGCTACCATTGACCGAGTGAGCAACATTTATTGATCTGTTGCATCGTACAATCGGCAGCACAAGTTTTTATTTCTATTTTTGCATTTTGAAATGTATAATAAAGTTTGTGATTGTTGCAAGGAGCAATTTTTACCTAATAATTTTTTAATACTATTAATTTGTGATACATAATATATTAATTTTTCTGCCACAATAACTAACTTTTTTCTGTATCTCTAAACAACCTATCGCGTACCCCGGGTTGGGAATCGCTGTTCTAGCCCTTTAATTATCAAAATTTAATAACATCAATGTTTCTTACGCGAGTTACCATGCCAAATTTCGTTTCTTAATAATTACTCCTTCCTAAACTATAAAACGAAATAGACGTTAACACACGCACTGATATTCGTCCACGCAGAAAACCCGCGATTTTATGCGTTTCTCGACGTTTACGGGTCCCCCGAGTCCAAAAATGTAAAAATCTCGGGGGTCAGGTTTTGTCCGATCGTCGTACTTTTTCTCTTTTATATATAACAGTGACGGAAAAGTAAAAACTGAGTAATTTTCGCAAGAGCAACAATCTCGTATATAAACACTAATCTGTCCGTAATTATTCTAATTCGTTTCGTTAAACATCCTATAAATACGTTAAAATAATTTAACTTGTTTATTTACCTTCGCTGGTAACCCTCCATGTTAAATGTATCCGCCATTTTTTCAACAAATTTCCCGTGAGTCAATGCGCGAGGTTAACCGAGTCACGTGATGTTACGAACGTCCGCCGCAACGGCCGTGTACGAGTAACGTTTGAACTTGAGCCTCAACCTCTCTATAAATCTCTATGGCAGTTTGGTACAACGGATGTAACTTTGACAGATATTTGGACTTTTCGCCAGACTTCTTACAATCTCAATTTTAATCCCAAATATTTCTACCCTCTTCTTGGTAAATAGGTAATTTTTTTCTTATTGCCTATTTTTAAACATAACCTTCAGATCTTCTGTTCAACATCAGGGTCTTAATACAACAAACTTAGTCAAATGATCTTGGTACACGAAAATAAACTTGTAGTTCCATCAGGATGAGACTGAAAATCTATCAGATCTACCGAACATCTTGAATTCGTATGTGAAAATACTATTGGCTTTACAACCTCTTTCTTTCCCATGTTTTTTTTTTTGTTGGTGAGACTCACAAACACTCAAACCCCAATTGTTTGGTTGAACTGATAACTTGAATGGACAACAACAACACTGGTTGGGATGGCTCCAACTTGTTACCTTCATCACTGACATCATTTTCTGACCTTTATAAACAAAAAGAATTTATATTCTATACTTTAATGTAGCGGTGATCACTATTCCATGTAATACCTAGTTAAAGTTTAGAATGTTAGATTATTATACACTTTAACAGGCCTGTTTAGGTATTCTATAGAATAACGGATTATAGACTTTAACGGTAACATGTATATATAAATTATAAAAAATTTAGTCTTTAAATATAAGATTAAGTTTAAGAATTACTTTAACAAAACAGTTCAATTGTTATCTTAAACATAAATGCATTTAACTAAACTTTAAAAAAAAAAAATGTATATATAATACATAAAAATTTGCACTTCTGGATCTTGAAACAAGTTTCAAGTTATCACATATAAATTCCTTTTTATATCTGTGAAAACAATATTCTATTAGACAATTTATTTGAGCAGGACAAATTAATACATTAATTTTCAATTCTACAATTGATATATATATATATATATATATATACAGTATATATAAATAAAAAAATTAATTTTAATTAGGAAAAGCATTTTGGAAAATTTTCAACTATGTGTTTACGGGAGCAGATACAGTATTTCCTATAAGTTATAATTTCCGGAGAAACGTACGGTTTCTACGTTTCTCTCTTATTTTAGGGGAAGACGACAAATGAATTTTCTGTTCGTCCGGAAATCGTCAAAATAATTACTTCAGGAACGGTTTCCACCGCTGTTAATTAATAAAAGTATTTTAAATAAATTGGTTTTATTATGTAAAATACGGTATTAAGCATTTATGGATAATATTGTAAAGAAACAGACGATTTTAATCCAATATTTAATCAAGTTTTAATTTTAAAAATCACACAAGTTCCGGTCCATATTAGATACTAGCGAGGTTCAGCGCCGCTTTCTTGTAAGCCTAGAAGTTTGACAATGGTGTTTGGATCATGAATTTATAGGTCTGCATTAATATAGAATTTAAAAAACTTATTGCGTATTTTATTACTTTTATACCAAGAATCCCGTATTCGTCTTAGGCTCATTACATTTTAAAAAAATACTCGTTCCAGGAAATACATTTGCAACGTACACACATTGGAGATAATCGAAGAACATTGGTGTGTATGTGTGTGTATTTGACTCGCGTAGTAATATTTTTTCAGTCAGCTTCTTTACACTTATTTTAATTAAAGCATATTCGTTTAATTTCTTTAATTATCGTAATTCGATGTCTAAAAGTTCGGCACACACGAACACTTTTAAAGATAAGTATGCTTTAAAAAATATCATTTGATATTTTGAGAATATGGCAGGTTTGATAAACAAAAAAATTAAACACTAAAGTGGCCAAGTCAATTTTACAAATGGAAATATTCGATTTTTCAATAAAAGGACTGTTTTTGATGTAATCATAAGAGATTAATATGAATATTCTTATGAAAATTGCATGTTTTCTGTTATGCTTACAACTACATGTGGATCAGAGGTCCATAAACATTTTTGACTGTCTACCCCTTCAAGGATTCCTCGACTTTTTGTCGACCCCTTCTGTGGAGGGTTTTTTATTATTATTTGCTAATGCAGTTGATAAATAAATAATTCTGATGAACCAGTATTTAAAGCACGCAACTCCATAAGAAAAAGTGTATACAGCAGACCACCGGAAGACTACGAAGTTTCCTCTCAGCCAGAATGAGACTGGGCAGAAAATTAGTCTCGGGGAAACATAGACCACAGCCATGAAGAAAACTTATAATTTTAAAGCTTTTATGNGTATTTAAAACACGCAACTCCATAAGAAAAAGTGTATACAGCAGACCACCGGAAGACTACGAAGTTTCCTCTCAGCCAGAATGAGACTGGGCAGAAAATTAGTCTCGGGGAAACATAGACCACAGCCATGAAGAAAACTTATAATTTTAATAAAGTAGCACTGTACAGTACATACCTTTGTTTCTACGGAGCTTAATGCTTGGAAGAGGAATCCTCCTCCATAAAAATATCGGGTAGCACTGCATCGGGAGTTTCTTCGAGTCGAAGTCTATTTTGATAAGGAACAAGAAAGTGGTCTAAAGTTGATTGTCTTACTCTCTTAATCAAAATTTTTCTAAAATGCGCTAGCACAGTGTCGTTCATTAAATTAATAACCCTATTAGCCACAACTTTGTTAGGATGGTGCTTCTCGATAAATTCCTGCACATCATTCCATTTTCTGCAAATTTCCTTGATCTCAGCACTGGTGATTTCTTCCCTAGCCTCTTCCTCTGACGAATGCTCTTCTTGTAAGACTTTCATCTGTTCTTCCTGCATGGCAACCAGCTCTTCTGTTGTTAGTTCATTTTGATGATCTTTCAGCAACTCCTCCACGTCTGCATCATCTACCTCTACTCTCAAACTCTTGCCAATGGACACGATTTCATGCACTACATCAGGAGAGCTCTCTTCTTCAAATTCCTGAAAGTTTCGCTCTGGGACACAAGTTGGCGAAAGTTTCCTCCAGGCCATTTGCAAAGTGTGGTGAGAGACCTCACTCCAGGCTTTGTCAATAAGGTTGATACAATGCAGGATGTTAAAATGCTCCTTCCAAAAAGCTTTAAGAGTTAAGTTGGTATCATTGATAACCTGAAAACACATAATAAACAGTGCCTTGGTATACAGCTTTTTAAAATTGGAAATCACTTGCTGATCCATTGGTTGCAGTAATGGAGTTGTGTTGGGTGGAAGGAATTTGACCTTGATGAAGTCATGTTCACTATTCAAGTCATCTTCCAAATTTGGTGGATGTGCTGGAGTATTATCCATTAAGAGAAGACATCTAAGAGGAACATCCATTTCCTGAAGATCATTTTTAACAGCAGAAGCAAACACTTCTGTGAGCCAATCCATGAATAAAGTCCGAGTTATCCATGCCTTACTATTTGCCTTCCATTGTACAGACAGTTTGGACTTTATCACATTTTTGCTCTTAAAGGCACGGGGATTTTCAGCGTTGTAGACTAAACGTGGCTTGATTTTGAGGTCACCACTTGCATTAGCGCAAAATAAAAGAGTAAGTCTGTCCTTCATTGACTTGTGCCTGGGAAGTGCTTTTTCTTCTTGGGTTATGCACGTTTGTCTAGGCATTCTATTCCAAAAGCACCGGTCTCATCGCAATTAAACACTTGATTCCAGATGTATCATTCACTTTTTACAAACTCTGCGAATTCATCTGCAAATGCTTTCGCTGCTTTTTCATCTGAACTTGTAGCCTCCCCGTATCTTATGACGCTGTGAATGCCAGTTCGACGAAACCTATCAAACCACTTCGGCTCGCTTTAAAGTCCTGCCTGTCTGCACTTGTACTGGGTGTCTGGGTAAACAAGTCATTGTATAAATTTTTAGCCTTTTCACAAATTATAGCTTCACTAACACTGTTTTCAGCAAGTTGCTTTTCATTGATCCATATTAGCAACAGTTTTTCAACTTCATCTAAAACTTTAGATCTTTGTTTCGATATCACATTCACTCCTTTAGCCACTTCGGCAGCCTTAAATGCTTTGGCTTTTTTGTTTTTAATAATTGTAGAGATAGTCGATTTTGCCATTATATTCTTTAGTGATGTCAGGAACATGAACAACATTCTCATGTTTTGCAATAATCTCTTTCTTTAATGTGACACTAAAACATTTTCTATTGTCACTATCACTTTGCTCTTTCTTGGGTGCCATATTGATTAAATATACAGTATAAATAACAAAACTAAAAAACGAAGTTTAGCACACTCGAAAAAGCAATGCTTACCTCGCGCATGCCTAAGAGCAACTGAAATTTTTTAGGTTCCAGAACTGCTGGAAACTATTGGGTTGACGCAAAAGTTCGTTCCGTTTTTAGCACCAGCTGGCTAAAAACGCAACACTAAAGTGTTATTTCCTTCATATGTGTAAAATTTCGATGTTGTTCGACAAAAGGAATCTCAGCTAGTATTTGAGAATAAAGCTGTGTTACTTAGTTGTGTTTTTAAAATTTTGTTAAGCATTACAAATGGCAGAAAATAAGGAGCATTTTTGACATATTATGCTTTTTTATTTCCGAAAAGGCAAAAAGGCAAGAATGCTTCGCAGACACAAAAAAAGATATGTTCTGTGTATGGTGAGAGAGCCATTGATGATTCCACGTGCCGTAAGTGGTTCAGAAAGTTTCGTGAAAGCCAGCTTACAAATTTGACACAAAAAGCCGTTAAGTTCGTTATCCGAGACAAAATTTTTGCAAAATAAAAGTTCGTTAACCGATTTGGTCGTTAATTAACCAGGACGTTCGTTAACCGGGGTTCACTGTACGTAGTTCTCAAATCCCTCGTGTAACTTGTATGTATATATTATATTCAGCAGGTTAAGGCGCAAAGTATTAATATGCACGTAGCTACAGGGGACCACAGATGGCAATCCACAGATGAGCTACCCTCTCCTTGTTCCAAATAACGAAATTCTGATTATTTATACTACAGTTTTTAGATAAATATTTAACTTTTGACGTTTAAATATCTAATATTTTTTGGACTTTTTTTACTGTACGTACAGTACATGATCTAATAATAATATATTATACATTTAAAAAAATTTTCGGGGAAATCCCATGACACCGTCCTTCTTGGAATACTCCTTAACTCTCAGACCCCGAGATTAAGGTCCTTGCACAATTTACTAGAGCCATCCATCCCTGCTATAATTGGTCTAGCTATACCCTCAAATAATAATAATCAACTCATTTATTTTCATTTATTTATTTCCATTTATTTATTTCAGCATTCAAATTATATTTCTTAAATGTTTCTTAGCAAAAATAGTTTTATTTTCAATTTTGTTTTCTTCATTATCGGTTCAATACGGACGAAGTCATGTCGTTAGGCACTGCTTGAAATGACTTTAAAGAAAGAATTGACGCTCTGATACCCGCTCGAACACAGTTTTCTCGATCACATTCGTCTATAATGGAAGCAATCGTGGCAGCAGCAAAACTAATAAAATAAAAGAATTAATTAATTAAACTGAAATGAAGCTGAGTCACGTATTGGCATATTTTAAAAATATCAGTAAATACAGTAGTTAGTAATTAGGCCTAATTCAGATAAAGTAAGGTCACATAAGGATATACTAGGCACTTTAGCGATTTTGCCTTATTTAATAGTCTACAATGTGGACGAATTTGAATTTGATGCTATTAACTGACTCTTTGAAATGTTCTTAATAAAATAATCTATGGTAAAATATTAGGTCAGTCCATAAGTTCATGCGTATTTTATGACCTTGTTTTGCTGTTAAAAATGCCAGTCTAATGTGATACTTTTTACACTGAAGTGTTAAATTGGATCTNTCACGTATTTGTAAGATCTAAGTGACTCGTACAACATGGAATTCATATAAAACGTAATAATCAACAGTGTTATAGGGGGGTCGACTGTACATTGTAATAGAAACTGATTATTTTGTATCATCTAGCTAAGGGTACTAAGTTAATCAGTTATGTTTTAATGTTGAAATGAAGAGTTAGGCTCAATATTTTTATTCTTAACATAGTATATGCATATATATATATATATCCAATTCCATAGTAATAAATGTTTATTTTACTTTTATAAAAATAATTAACATTTGTATAAAATTTGGTGAAATTTTTATTAATTTTTATTTTACATAATTAAAGTACAGTACATGTGCAATAGCAAAACACCTTGAAACAAATATTGAATATGTAATTAACAGAATACAACAGAAAATTTAATAAATTATATCTGATTTTTATTAAAATTTAACAAATATCGTTTCAAAGTGAAATCTGATTTTAAGTATTAAACAGAAAAATATACTGATGAACTCCCGTAAAACTAATCTTTGCAAATGTACACTAAAGCAATTAATTAAATAAAACAATTTGACATCACTCCATTTAATATCGTATTTACATTAACCGTGCGTATCAAATTATAAATGATTTACATATTTGATATTATTATATTGATATTTAAAAATTTGCTGATCATTACACAAAAATATACATCTCTTTATACGAAATTTTCAAATTAGAATTGTTTTATGTGAATTTATTAATCTGATAATTAAATTTATATCAAAATATTGATATGTATTTTAAATACTGTATTGATTCGCTTATATCCGTAACAACAATTTCGGTTTAGAAATATAATTTTAATTAAAATTTTATTTGCTATTATTTTACAATTTCCTTGTACATTTATTATTAAAATAATTATGTTATATTATTTGAGTAAAGTATCATACACTTTTTTCCTTTTCTGGTTTTAAAAAAACAAAAAGCAGAAATTCTCATTATAGAAACTATTGTATATAGCTGCAATTTAATAAATTGTTTTAAAAAAAAGTTATTAAAGTTAATAATATTTGAGTTTTCAATATTAAATAAACAATACGTAATTCACATGTATGTTACCGTTAAAGTATCAAATGCCGTTATTCTATAAAATACCTAGTTATTTCATATAATACCTGCCTGATTTAGGTAAAGTATGGAATGAATTGAAAATTACATAGTTTAACTAGTTATTCTATGAAATAGCTAAATATTCTATGAATTAACTAACCAGTATTAATTATGGAATTAAATAAGAGTAATAAATGCTGTAAAACTATGATAATTTCTATTTATCAGAACAAGGAGTGCTGGAGTGGCATTTGGAATTGCAGAGAACATTATTTTTTAGACAAGCACATCTTTTGTTGTCACACTGTTTTTTACACGAGCATTTTTGAACCCTAACCTGTATCAACATTTTGGGTTGTAGCAACAGACTGGAGTAGTATCTTAAAGTCTGGTATTTTGTCAATTGATATTGATTTTTGTTCACAGACACAAAATTGATTCCTGCAATATAACTGTTTGAGGTGCCCATTTCTTGTTCCCTATCGATAAAATCCTTGACTAGTTTCTTCCATAACAACAATAATGGATCTGGAATCTCATCCTCAGGCAGCAGGATATGAATTATCATTCCTACAGATGCTTTAGAATGTGATTTTTCTGACAGTATTTTCATTTTCTTTGCTTATATTCCAAACATCTTTGGCCTCTTCTCTTTCTTTCTGGACATTCAGTTTATTTAAAATTAATCTCGCCCTGGCAGAAAATTTCAATAAATTAATGTACAGTACAGTAGATCCAAACGTCTGTAACTAACTGCTTGATTTTATCATCGGGATGACGGATCAAACCCAACATTACTATGGGGGAATGTCTAAAATTTGATGGCAAAATGTAACGGGAGTGAGAGGTAGTCAAAAAAGGACTTCAAATTGATGGCAACATATTTACGCGACCCCTACAGCCAGGCACGTAACTGGAGCGGTCGAGTAGTAAAGGACCGGACCCGACATCCAGACAGCCTGTTTAGAATTAACCTATATGAGTGGGCTTTGACAAATCGACTCGAAATGCTAGTAGCCTATAAACTTGTGCTTTCTTAGCTAGTATAAAGCGAATTATGAAGGATAAAATAATAGTATATGTTTAACACATCTCTAGCTTTGATCAACTGATACATATTTCATTTTGTTTACACAACACAGCGTTACTTTTGACCACTTACGAGATCAAAACTAAAAAATGAATATTGTCACCTGTCACGTAGGTACACTGTCGTGCAGAAAACATCCTATCCCGTTAGTATGTAAGATTTTGCCAATAATTAACAACAGAGTTTCAGATAATCCTAAAAATTTTTGAATTTCAAAAAACTCGGACCAGTCACGGGAATTTTGCTGAAAGTTTAAGAATGAATGTAAAAATAAGTTAAATCATCATTGGCTTCTGTAAACAGTTTGCATCTACCATTCATTCTTACACTCGACTTCTAATAAACAAAATTTCTGTCGGGTGTACTTAGTCTGTGGAAAATTTTATCTTTAAAACTTAAATAAAATGTTCGCACATTAAGCCGCAAAGCCGCGTCAAGGCGACACCCATTTTGTGGTAGTTTTTTAGTTTTCAGAAACTGGCCCTGATTGCTTGACAGAGAAACAATCAGAGAATAAAACTGGATATTCGTTGCTATTCGATTTATTCCGTAAACTGAAATCATTTCATAAACAAATCGATGCTTGTCACTTCAATTA